ACCACACCACGTGTCTTGACCAACGAATGAAGGAATCAAGCTCCGGTCTTTTCTTTTCAGACGCCTCTTACATCCTTTGGCCAAATGTTATCTTTTGTCTTAAAAGAACCTATGCTGCTATAGCCCGCCATTTTATGTGTGCTTCACGATTCCATGGCTTTTGTCCACCATGCTTCTAGTTCATATCAAAGTTTTGATAGTAATCTAATGAGCAGAGTTCATATCAAACTTCATATACAAGTTCCTATCAAAGTTTGACAGTAATCTAATGAGCATATTGAGATGGAGCTCGTAGAGGTACTTCTGATTTACTGTCTGTTACCAAAAGTGAACGGTGAAGGGTATCTTATGTATCGGAGGCCGGAAAAGAGTGATGTTTGTAGATGGATAACTGGACGAAAAACTGTCCGATCGTACACGTTGAAGTAGGAGAAGAGCGCGTTGAAGTAGGAGAATGTTGAATTATTGTGAAGCGTACCAAAATTATCAATAGCAATATAGTATTTCGATTAAATAAAAGTCGATCCCACAAGTAACGATTTTAATGAAAATTCTCAATTATGCTTACTAAATAGATTAAAACAGTTTGAGTTTTGCAATTAAGAAATGAATTAAAATTAAATGACAAAGAACTGTAAATTGTTGAGAAAATATCAATTAAAGGTACTTAAGATTGACTTCCTTCCTTATCCCTCTTTTGTAATGACTATGTCAATTAAGAACGTCAATTAACCTAACAATGTTGATGCCACCTACTCAAATCATTCATGTTATTCCTCACACATGAAATTCATAAGAAAACCTAATAAATGTTGATTCCTCACACAATTAACAGATTTTCCAGATTAGGGTTAGGGTGTTAAGCAATTGATACATTTATTCCATTCCTGACAATTAACGTAACAAATATTCTTACTGTGATCTAGGGTTCAAGAGATATTTTCCAATCATACCTCAAACAATCAAGAATAAATCATTCCAAAGCATAAAGGATAAGAATAACAACATCAAAACATAGATTAAGATCTCAAAATATCAACATGATACAAAAGAGTTCAAAGGAAGTGCACCGAATCCTAAAATAATGAAGTTAGTCACTCATGTTGGTCATTACAATGCTCCAATTGATGAAGAAGTGAAGAATTGATCAAGATTAGACAAAACCCTAATAGTAGTCGTGCATCCTCTCCTCCAAGACTGTTTTCTTTTCTCAAAACACAACTTATCTTTTTATAAGAGAATTTGGGTCGGGCCTCGCATCATTCATTCGCTTAAGCGCTCTTCTTTCTTTCAATTTTACTCCAATTATGTTGACAATTATGCTCCTTACTCTTGTATCAAGGTATTCTCGAATTCATCCTATATTGGGAGAAAAATATATTAGAATTAACATAAGTTAAGTGGTTTCATAACAATTCAAGGCATAATTATATCAACTTTTTACCACTTAACAACTCCCCCCAACCTAGAATCTTACTTGTCCCAAGCAAAGTAATTTTTCTAAAACAAAATCATCACCTATTATCTCTTTCTCTTCCAGAACCACAACATAAAAATTTACAGAGGTAATGCTCACAACTCCAAATGAAAATAGAACACATAAGCATTCAAGTTACAGGAACCAACAAAGAATAATTAGTCATCAACTATCCTCAGAGAAGCATGATCTCTCAAAAAGAGTTATATATACTCATATATAATTCTCACAGGTAAGTGTTTATCTCATTCAATCACTTCATTTAGACAATCCAATATTGATAATCATCTTCAAGCAATCAACAATTGTTAAACAAGACTTAAATTAAAAGGTCTTTTGAGGCTTGTAATGGGACTGTGCTAAGAAAGAATTATTAGTTTTTCTCGGGATATACAAAAATATTTGAGAAATTCAACTCATATATATATATATATATATATATATATATATATATATATATATATATATATATATATATTAGCAATAATTTTTTACCATAAGATTTACACCTATACATTTACAAAATTAGTAACACATGAATGAAATAAAATAAAATGAGAAAAATATAAATAGAGATGGATATTTTTAATTAAACAAAAAATAAAAAATAGAAAAAACAATTACCCAAACACAAATTAAGTTTGTTTTTGTTATTAATTATAGATTTCTCAATTATTTTTTTCTCCGCTCCTTTTCAAGAAGTTTCTACATGATACTTGTTCTAAGTAACAAAACAAAAATCCACCTCACAAAACAAAACGAGATCAAAAAAAGAATTTTATCTTCTCAGAAATTCAGATTTTACTAGGTCAATCAATCATATAAAAAAAAAAGTTTATAGTTTGGATACAATTTCGGATTCTGATAACATAATCAATCGATAAAACGTAGCAACTGAAAAAAAAAATTATATTTTCTACAAAATTACATATTCTGATAACATAATCAATTGATAAAGACCTTGGAACTGAAATTTTGTTTTTCATATAGAATTTCTCTAATCACATAATCAATTGATAAAATTTTGTTTTTCAAAATTTTAATTGGAAATATATTATGTAAATATTAATCACCTACTTTGCATAATTTAATCATTAAAATACGTTGATCATATATTTTTAATTAAACTTCTTTTGATGTTTATATCATATAAATTATTTTATATTTTCACAAAATAAAATTAATGTATATTAAATTATGTATAAATATAATAATATTACCTACACTATATATATATATATATATATATATATATATATATATATATATATTTGTATTTTAGTATTGGTAAGTAAATATATATTTAATTTTTGTACTCATTTATATTTAGTCACTAATTCTAAATATATACCATTATGTAGGGCAACTGTGACACTTGAATTGAATTAGAAGACTTTGAAAATGGTAAGAATACCCTTTAATCCTTAAAACATGAAAATCTGAGAAAACTTGTTAAATTAACTTAATCTTTTAAAGACTAAAAGGTTTTCTTATATTAAAGAATGTACTGTCAAAATTATTTATTATTTTTTTATCTGATCAAATCTATCTTACTCTTTTTTATTTGTCTTTATTTTTGAGATCCTTTGACACATGACTTTTCACCATCAAATATATTTTTCTCTCACAGTCTAATCTCTAAAAATGTCTATTTTGTGATAAAACATCTCCAAAACCACCTTATAGTCCATGAGAATTAAAATATGTTTTGGTCTAACAAGCTTACTAATTAGTCAAATAAAGTAGAAGTTAAAATCTTTCTTTTGTTCTGTGCTGTTTTTTTTTTTTTTTTACTTAAAACAAGTATCATGCAAAAATTTCTTGATTAAAAGAGAAAATAAATAAATAAATATATATAATTAATGACAAAAATAACTTTAAATTGTGTTTGAGTAATTATTTTAAATTTGATTTTCTTAATTTTTACTTTCATTATATAACTTGGTTTCTATTTTAAAATTAAATTTCATCGACATATTATAAATGTAAAAATAAAATAATTTATTATATGCTTAAATATATAAATAAATGAGAGAGGTTAATAATTACAACTGGGAAGAAGTAAGAGTAAAAACCAAGTATTAAAACAAAGAAACTCATTCAATTTAATTCAGTGGCGATAAAACACAATCATAATATCCCATCTGAATTAAACCCTCCCGTCACCACCAAGATTATCAATTAATTGTCATTCGAATCTGAAATTTTATTGAAAAAATAAAACTGTTATGTTTATCAGTTGACTATGTTATCAGAATCTGAAATTCTGTCGAAATTATAAAATTCTTTTATTTTTTGTTTTATTTTTCTTATTTTATTTACGTGTTTATTAAATTTATAAATATATAGGGGTAAATTTTATGGTAAAAAATTTATTGATAAGATATTTAATATATATATATATATATATATAAAGGTGATAGATGAATTAATAATTTGATAAATATAAATATAAATATATTTTAAAAATTTTAGTTGGAAATATATTATATAAATAATTTACTTTGCATATTTTAATCATTAAAATATATTGGATCATATATTTTCATAAATAAATATATATATATATATATATATATAATAATAATATTACTTACACTATTAATATATATATATATATATATATATATATATATATATATATATAACTTTGTATTTTAGTATTGGAAAGTAAATATATATTCAATTTTAATACAGTTAATAGTAGTAAATAGGTATAACTATGAAAATTAATCTTTACTTTAATTTTTTTTTCAAATTTTATGAAAAAAGAAAAAACAAACTAATAAGTGTTGTGTTTGATTATCACACTAATATTTTTTTCATATTTGAATAAAATATTCTTAAAGTATTTTCAATTATAAATCTTATTTAAATTGTAATTTTAGTTTTTTCTTAAACTTCACTAAATTTTAAATTTTTTTTCAATCTTCAATACTATATTTAACTCCAATTATTATTTAATGATTTTTATAATAAATATATTAGATATAATGTTTATGGATCAAATAAAATAAATAAAATAAATAATATATATAATTAAAAATTAGACCAAAAGTATGAAAATTTGAAATTTGAAGAAATAAAATTATCAAAATAAAAATACAAAAACCATAACATATAAAAAAAAATAACTAAAAGAGAAAAAACACGTTCTTGTAATGGAGACAAATTTGTAAGCTAGTCTGTTTGTTTGTCTATTTTTTAGATGGAATAAGAAGGTCTAAGCAAGTCATATCCACACAAAATGCTGTGTGTTTAGATTGTAAAGCAAAGAAACTCTCTCAATTCAATCCTATGGTCATAAAGCGATGCTAATATTGATCAGGGTTCGTATCTAAGAAGAGATTGAGCGTAGAGGTATTTCTGATTTACCGCTAGTGACACGGGACGTGGATGATGAAGGATATCATACGCACGGGAAAACTGACCGGAAAGGGATGATGTTTGGAGATCGATAACAGGACGGGAAAATTGTCCGGAACCTTACGTTTCGGATGGATATCTGTATTTGTCAGATCGACTATTGAAGGAGGATTGTTCGAGCAAGACCTGCAAGAAATACATCTTTGCAAGCAAGGTAGCTGTTAAAAACTACATCAAAACATATCTTCCTGGTACGGATCCTGAAGTCGTTTTCTCTACTTTCTACGGGAAGATTCCGGCTTTACCACAGGATATCATGTCAGTTCTATCATTACAACATGTGCATAGGTATTCACTGTCTAACCCCATGTTTCCTCCAACTTTGTCAACCAAGAAAGATCATAGGGCTCATTCAATGTGACAATAAATATAGCCACCATAATCTGAACAGACAGTTTGGCCACAAAAAATGAAACAACAATGGCGGCAAAACGAAGGTTGCGCGCAACATGTTTCAAGGTTGGCTTTACACCTTACAGCTTCCCCACCGTCAGAGTTATATGCTTCTTGTGCTATGTGAAGGAGAGGCATAGCACGTATAGACAATGCTTCATGCGGTATCTGACGAAGAGTTCATTGACTGTGATACACAACACAACAACATAATTATGTGTTTATTTAATGTGATATCATTTTAAGAAGCAAAACAAAGGATAATTGTAACACAACCAATTAAAAAAGGGAAATAAGTGACAGTTGAAAAGAGACCGTAACCTGATCTGATGCAGTGGTAAAGTTGGAATCTTCCGGTAGAAAGCCGAGAAAATGACTTCAGATCAGTGCCAGCAAAATATGTTTTGACCTAGATTTTAACAGCTACCTTGCTCGCAAAAGATGTATTTCTTGCTGGTCTTGCTCGGTGTTGAGTCTGACGGGTTCTTCTCCTCCTTGAAGCGCGCAGAGTAATCGATGTGACAGATATAGAAATTGATCATAAAAGTACAGACCGTTCCGACAATTCTCCTGTTGTCCATTTCCAAATATCACCCTTTCCGTACCCTTCACCGTTCACGTCCGGTGGCACCCTAAGTAAATCAGAAATACTTCTACAAGCTCCATCTCAATATGCTCATTGGATTACTACCCTTCTTATATATGAACTTGTATATGAAGTTTGATACGAACCCTGGTATATAGGGCTTAACAGAGCATGGTGGACAAAGCATAGGTGTTTTAAAGACGAAAAGATAACATTTGACAAAAGATGTAAGAGGAGTCTGAAAAGAAAATACCGCGGATTGGTTTCTCATTCGTTGGTGAAGACGCGCGGTCTCTTTCAAACTGCTCACTACTAAAAATTCTCATTTTTCATGGGAATATTTTTGCAAAATTTTGATAAAAATTGCAAGAAATAAGTTTTCTATAAATTTAAACAATTTTTTGCAAACAGCGCTGTACAGTCGATACAGTCAAGGTTATAAGAAATGACAGAAATCTTAAATGGCATTTTCATGTTTAAAACTTGAAAAAATACAGCTCAAAAAGAGTGAATTGATAAAAAGTAATTCCTGAAAGAAAGAATTTTATTTTGTTCATATTCTGATCACATAATCAAGTGATACATTGTAATCATAGCAATCAAGTGGAGGTATTTTTTTGTTCCTATTTTTTTATTTAGGTTTCCATGAGAAGATTGGAGTAAAATACCATCTCCATTTTTAACTTTGTGTTTTAGTGTTTGGAACCCAAAATATGAGATACTATTGTATCATTTAAGACTTCAAACTTATTTTGAAATAAGTTAAAAATATTTTGTAAATGATATTCAATATCACCTTTTTATGACTCTACCAATTGATTAATCTTTTTCAATGAAATACATCATATCAAGATATCTTTTATAACTGAAACTCGATGTTAAAAACTTAAAGTTGTTACATGGAGTTAACTCGTAGGATTAAAAAAGAAAATAAACAAATTTTATATATGATTATGATTATTTTTACCATGAATTTAAATTTAGATAGGTTAAATATTAAATTTTAACACGAATTTTCATTCCGTTAGTAGAAAATCGAGAAAAGTGATCGAAAAAGGAAGGAAAGAAAAATTGAGAAACATGTGATTCATTGATAAATCGAAAAGACGGATGAGAAACCATTCGATGTCCAATTAGAAGTGCGTGACATATAAAATCGAGAGTTAAAATCAAGAATCGAAGGAATAATAGATGACATTAAGATTAAGAGGAATCGAAAGCAAATGCAATGTTCTCGAGATTTTAATCGAAATTGAGGGGAAGACTAACCTGCGTAAATATCGAAATCTTGGCCAGATCATAAAAAGAAGGAGTTAAATGCGCACATAGGAAACAGTTTTCAAAATCATGGTAGAGGTCGAAGATCATGGGAACGTAGGTGCAGTGTTGACACCGCAAAAGAAGAAACTGCAACGTGCACAAAGAATGTGGTATCAGTTTTCGTTAACTGCTCCTAAGAGGCTACTTGAAAGATGATCTATAAATAGAGCGAAAGATGAAAGGAAGGGAGGTGGAAAATTGGCAGAGAACAGAATACTAGAGAGAAGTCTACCGGCGAACGACGAACATCATGAAGTTTCTGGCGATCTGGATTTCCACGCTCATTGAGTACTTTTACCGCTTTCTTTATTTTCCTTGGTAATCTACTTTGATGCATTTTATGTTTATAGCAACTTTAAGTTTCTGTGTTTTCGATTCTCGGTCAATTTCAGTTTAATGGAAGTCAAGTTTTCTGCATTTAAATTTCTTGTCCTTTAACTTCAATGCAAATTCGATTTCCAGTTATTTACTTTTTCTGCGTATTTCGATTTCTTATCATTTACATTTCTGTAATTTCGATTTCCTGTCATTTAAGTTTCTGTACTTTCGATTTCATGTCATTTATCTTAATGCAATTTAAGTTTCTCTACTTTCGATTTCATGTCATTTACACTTAATGCAATTTTGAGGTTTCCGTACTTTACATTCTCTGAAATTTAATATTTCTTTGCAACTTTATATTCTATCCTGCTTTTCGATTTGTCATTTCACTGTTTTCCTTACTTCGAGTATTTCAAAAAACAAAATACCAAAAATAGTGCTTTCGATAAGTCATGACACGTTAGTGGGATTTTCTCGATATTGTGATATTTTCGATTCTCATATGTATCTCGATTGAAAAAACATTTGCTAGCCTAAGTAAAAAGAACTTGCGTGGTTGAGTTTTGGTTAGAACAAAATATCTTAAGAATCGGAATCGATCAAAATTCCACCAGAAACAAATTGGCGCGCCAGGTAGGGGTAGCCTTGTGTTAAAAACACAAAATTGGTTAGTTTGAGAGTGTATGAGATTAAGGAGTGGGTGAGTTATAAGAATGAGTCAAAATTCAGCAAATAATCAGAGCAACAATGAGAGTCTAAATGGTGTACATTCACCAAATACTGGGGGACAAAGTCATAATGGGAATATGCCTGTAACATCGACAACTGCGAGTATGTCGATACCTGTGGGTAATGAACAAAATTCAGGCACCTTGACAAACACCCAAGTAGGATCTAACGCGGTGGTACCAAATAATATGCAAACTGTGGGAAACCCCACAACAACATATGTAGGGCCATATATGAGTGTAAGACCACCTGGGTTTTCGCTTAATAATATGAGTGGGGCTGGAACTTCTTCAACACAGCAGAATTCGAGATATAACTTAGGAATGCCTCAAACACTAGGTATGCCGCAAAATTTTGGAGTCCCTCCGAATTTAGGGACATCTCAAAAGTTAGCGATTCCCCAGAATTCAGGAAGTGGACAAAATTTAGGTATACAACAGACACCTCCAAATCTAGATCACAGAGCAAATCTGGATCATGGGAGAAATGCATTCGATAGAGATTATCATCAGTCTAATTTTGAGACTTTGGAAACACTACAAGAAAAACACTAAATAGTAACCGAAAATTCGGTCACTAAATGTGCAAAATCGGTTACTAATTAAAATAGTGACCGAAATAGTGACCAACTGGAATCGGTCACTATTTCCTTGGTCACCGATTTTAGTGACCGATTCGATGACCGAATATATATAATCAAATCGGCCATTGATTCGATCACTAAATCAATGAAAAAGAATAACAAATTTAATTATTTTTATTTATTTACAATTTTATTATATCTATTATTTATTTCCCCTATCTCTTAATTATATTATATTTTTGCTTATTTAAGTTTTTATATCCCCTATCTCTTAATTATATTATATTTTTTAGAAGTTTAACTTATTATTAGGTGGTTTACTTGTCATTGTCGGGATACTTGTCATTGTCAGGATTCGAACCCAAGTACCTTAGAGTTGGAGGTCTGAAACTCCAACCATCGAGCTACTAGGATCTTTTAATAATAACTTACAAATAAATTATATTTATATACAAATAAATGTATATCCGTATAAATATATAAATATAAAATCTATAAATAAAAATATATTTATATATTTTAATATATATTTAAATATTGATATATTTATATATTGATATATTTATATATTTATATTTTTATATATATTTATATTTTTATATATTTATATCTTCATATTTTTACATATATTTATATGTTTTCATATTTATATATAAAGATATTAGTTTTCTATACAAATAATATTATAATATAGTATATTATACTATTAGTATAGTATACAAATAATATATTAGTATAGTATAGTATACAAATTATTAATTTTGTAATTTATATACAATGAAAATAATATAATGGTATATTAGTATAGTATAGTATATTTGTATTCTAATTTTTAATTAAATTAAAATTATGCTAATAATGTATATTAATATATGAGGGGATAATATTGATATATTGATATATTTGTATATATATATATATATATATATTTATATATATTTATATATTTATATATTAATATATTTATATATTTATATATTTATATATTTATATTTTGATATATTTATATATTTATATATTTATTTATATCCTTATACATTTATATCTTTATATATTTATATATTTGAAAAAAAAATATTAAATTTAAAAAATAATATTATATTTTTAAAAATAAATATAAGAAAAAGATTTAAAAATATATATAAATTATATTTACATTTACAAAATATTAAAGATATATGTTTATATCTTTAAATATTTATATATATTTATATATATTTATATGTTTATATTTACTTCTAATAGCGGTTGCACCATCGCTCGAGCGAGATTATAGTCGCTCAAGCGAAATACAACCCGAGAATGCCAATTTTGTGTAGGGGGCGTTTCGCTCGAGCGATAAGAGTATCGCTCAAGCGAAATACATTTTAGATAGCGGTTACACAGGAATCGCTCTTAAAAGCTCACTTAGATAGCGGTTAATCTGAAACCGCTATTATATGGTTTCAATTATGATCGATCAGAATGAAATTATGACCGATCATAACTCTTTTAATCGATTAAATCTCATTTCAATCGATTAAAACAATTTCTGCACATGCGTTTTAATCGATTAAAACTTATTTTTATCAGTTAAAATAACTTGAAAAGTTTTACAAGAAACTTATATTTATATATTTATATTTTTATATATTTATATTTTTATATATTTATATATTGATATATTTATATATTTATTTATATCCTTATACATTTATATCTTTATATATTTATATATTTGAAAAAAAATATTAAATTTTAAAAATAATATTATATTTTTAAAAATAAATATTAGAAAAAGATTTAAAAATTCTCAATTCTACATTTTTGTAAATTCTATCATTATATTATCATGCTCATTATATCAAAATGTTAAATACTTTTAAATATTAAAATTAACTTTATAAAAAATTAGGAAAAAAAAATAATCCAAAAGAGTTCAAAAATGTATTATAATATTGTCAATTTTGAGTTTAATTATATTGTTCATTCTCAAAGTAGAAAAAGATTTAATAATAATAAATTTAATTCTTTAAATTCAGTAGTTAGAAACTAAAATTATAGTTTCTCTGTTTTAAATAATTAAAATAAATATTTAAAAATAAAAATCAAAACTACTATTATCTTAAATTTATTAAAAGTGTAATTAAATATCTATTTTCTTAATTTTATTTGTTTCAAACTTGTCAATTCTACATTTTTGTAAGTTCTATCATTATATTATCATCCTCATCTCCTCCCATGTTCTACTTTATCTTTACAATAGTCAATATTCTTAACTAATTTATAGTTTTAATTATAATTTTTTAGTATATATTTCAGAAATTAATCAATTCTAA